TTTATTTTATTTTATTTTTATTTATTTATTTTTTTAAATATTTTATTTATTTTTCAACAGAGAGAGAGAGACAGCGAGAGAGGGAACACAATCGGGGGAGTGGGAGAGGGAGAAGCAGGCTTCCTGCTGAGCAGGGAGCCCGATGTGGGACTCGATCCCAGGACCCTGGGATCATGACCTGAGCCGAAGGCAGGCGCTTAACGACTGAACCACCCAGGCGCCCCCGAGGATTTTATTTTTAAAAATCATTTCATAGGAAACTTTTCTGTGCTACCTCCATGAAATGAGGAATATCTATTTTTAGACAGAAAGTGCTAAATAGTGTTGCTGTCCTTTGCAAAAATGAAGAATATTACAGTTGACCCTAAGCACCTCAGGGGTTAAAGGTGCTGACACCCTCTCCTTCCATGCATTTGAAAATCCCGGTATATCTTTTGACTCCCCCAAAACTACTAATAGCCTACTATTGACCAGGAGCCTTACTGATAACATAAACAGTTGATTACCACATATTTTGTGTGTTATGTGTAATTTATACTATATATATATTTTTTAAGATTTTATTTATTTATTTGACAGAGATAGCAAGAGAGGGAACACAGGCTTGGGGGAACTGGAGAGGGAGAAGCAGGCTCCCTACTGGCTTGAAGCCAGGGACCAGGACCCTGGGATCATGACCTGAGCCAAAGACGGACACTTAACTACTGAGCCATCCAGGCGCCCCTATACTGTATTCTTTACAGTAAGCTAGAGAAAAGAAAGTGTTATTAAGAAAATCACAAGGAAGGGAAAATACATATATAGTACTGTACCATGTTTATAAAAAAGATCTGTGTATAAATAGATGTGCACAGTTCAAACCCATGTTGCTCAGGGTCAACTATAAGTAGATACACTGACCTAAAGAGTACTATATGTAGCTATTTTGATTTCCAGATCAAAGAGACTGTGCTAAATGGATTGGAAAACATGGGAGGTAAGATGGATGTCGATTTATTTATTATATGCATGAGCTTGGCACAAATACTCCCTTTTTTCCTTGAATTGTACTTCACTGGTGTTTTTTTCTTTTTAAATCATTTCTTTCTTTCCTATAAAACCACCCTGCGGGTTTACTTAAATATCTTCATCAAACTCTGTTAAAGTTCAGCTTAGAGGTATTTAAGAAGTATTGTTTTCACATTTCAAATCATAAAATAAGTGTTTCTTTGGTTTTGAAACAAGTTATTAAAAAAATGTAAGAATCATGAAAGTCATTTAGCTTCTAGGTAACTTTTTCAGATTGAATGGTTTTATTTATTTATTTATTTGTTTGTTTGTTTGTTTGTTTGTTTATTTGAGAGAGAGAGAGCCAGTGAGCATGAGCAGGGGGGAGGAGCAGAGGAAGAGGAAGAAGCAGGCTCCCTGCTGAGCAGGGAGCCCAAACTCTGGGCGATCCCAGGATCCTGAGGTCATGACCTGAGCCCAAGGCAGACACTTAAGGGACTGAAGCACCCAGGTGCTCCGAGGTTGAATGGTTCTAAGGCATCATAAGATTATATTAAACAGATTTTCAAGTTTCTTTTTTTTTTTTAAGATTTTATTTATTTATTTGAGAAAGAGTGAGCATGAGCCACGAGTTGGGGGGGTGGGGTGGGGAGAGACAAGGCGAGAGGCAGACTTCCTGCTGAGCAGGGAGCCTGGCATGGGGCTCAGTCCCAGGACCCTGGGATCATGACCTGAGCTGAAGGCAGAAGCTTAAACAAGTGAGCCATCCAGGCGCCCTTAGGTTTTTTTTTCCCTAATATACACGGATTTCTACATTCTTTGTTTCAAGTGAAAGAGATTAAACTGATTTTTTGACTTTTTCAGAAAAAATATTTAATACATTTGATCAATATGTTTACCACACAGAAATATAAATTTCACTCATTTTCCTGGCATAAACAGATGTGTATTTTACTTAGTAAAACTTTATGATTAGATTTCTATTTTTTTTTAAAGATTTTATTTATTTGACAGAGTGAGAGAGCACAAGCAGGAAGAGGGGAAGAGGGAGAGGGAGAAGCAGACTCTCAGCAGAGCAGGGACCCCATGGAGGGGCTAGATCCCAGGACTCCAGGATCACGACCTGAGCCAAAGGCAGACACTTAACTGACTGAGCCATCCAGGCGCCCCTAGATTTCTATAATCTTTCTTTTTTTTTGGAGAGAGTGCGTGAGTGGGGATAGGGAGTGCGGGGACGTGGGGGGAGGCAGAGGCAGAAGGAGAGAGAATCCCAGGCATGCTCCACGCCCAGCACAGAGCCCAATGTGGGGCTCCACCTCATGACCCAGAGATTACCACCCAGAGATCAGGACCTGAGTGGAAATCAAGAGTTGGTCGCTTAGCCACCCAGGTGCCCCAGATTTCTATTATTTTTAATAGTTTTTGAAAAATTATTTTGCTGACATTTTATCCTCATACTTATTTATTCTAGTCTTTAGACTCTGTAAACAGTGAATATTGAGGTAGATATAAATATTTATAGTTTGGGTAAAAGCACATTTTTAAGATATAAATTGGGTTAGTTTATCTTGTAACTTTTTTTTTAAAAAGAATTTATTTATTTATTTGACAGAGACACAGCGAGAGAGGGAACACAAGCAGGGGGAGTGGGAGAGGGAGAAGCAGGCTTCCCGCTGAGCAGGGAGCCCGATGCGGGGCTCGATCCCAGGACCCTGGGATCATGACCTGAGCTGAAGTCAGACACCTAACGACTGAGCCACCCAGGCGCCCTATCTTGTAACTTCTTTTCATGACAGTTTCCTTCTATTCTTAATACTAAAATCATCGCAGAAATTATTCAAATTAACTGTACGTGTTTCATGTACTAATAAACATGTATGATAGTGATATCCATGTTTTCATATAACCTAGGTTTTTTTTTTTCTTTCTAGTTGCATTCCAGTCCATGATGACAGGAGGTAACATAGGAAAGCAGATAGTTTGCATTTCAGAAGAAACCTCTGTGTAATCTGCATAAGCATCTTTATCAAGGAAATACACAGATTTCTTTCCATTTTGCACAAAGATTTTTAAGATACATTAAAAAATCTTAGAATACAGATAGCTTTTTATTTAAATGTGATCATTGGTAATATTTTCTAGTTGCATAATTTTTTCCTATATCTTCAATATCGTATGTGTTCTCTATATCCAACATGATTATTTACGGTAATAGATTGAAGTCAACATGACCTATTTTTCTTTCTTTTACTAAAACTGATATATGATATTTGATCAGCTATTCTGAAACCACTGGAGATTTGATATAAGTGTTTAATGGGTCAACCTTATAAATCGATTTTTACAGTTAATAACTTTTATTTAAAATAGAATGCTTGAGAAGACACGTAAATATATGTTGACCTGAAAATGCTTTACATAATTCTTGAACTGTAACTTGGTATAAGAATAGAATTGGGATGGCTTTTCTATATTGTAGATGAAAAAGAGATTTAATGGCAGAGCATGTGTTGGGGTTTGGGGGGAATTTAGAGATTGTGGAGCAGTTTTTAGGATAGGAGAGCAGAGGCTTTGTGTTGAGAAGATTAACAGGTCAGTCAGGTTGATGAAGAGACTAGTTTATTACAGAGGATTATCTGTGTTTTGCTAAATAATTTACTGTATAGCCTAAAAACGCAAATATATATTAATAAAAGCATGTTTGTTTTAGGTTAGCAGTTACATACTGTCAAATAGTGTAAAGATTTTGAGCAAATAGATACAAACATCACTTGAAGTTTTAGGTGATTAGAAAGATTTAGGCAACAAAGACAGCTTTAGAAAATGACAGGACTGACTGAGCAAATTAACAATTGGTTGTAAACATGAATGTTCAAGATCTAATGTACCTCTAAATAAGACGGTTTGTTTCATTAATTATAATCAACCCTTTTCAACAATAAAATTGAGGATATTTTTCAAGTGTTGTGCTGGTTTATGGTCACCTTTTTACACCCTGCTATATACTTTTGTCTGCAACATATGTAGGACGTAGATTCAAACTGTGTTAGTAATCAGTCACTCCAGTTGACCTCAGCGTCCTCTTCTTTTATATACCTTTTCTGGACCATTTCATCTCCAGAGAGCGTTGTATGTTGATAACTCCCAAATCTTCATCTCTATTTCTGACCTCTTCCTTGAGCTTAGGACCACCCAAGTAAAATATCCTGTTGGCACCCGGGATAAACTGTTTATCTAAAGAGGAATTACCTTCCTCTTACATGTTTCTACTTTGTTTTTAAATCACCATTGTGCATCCAAACTAATACTCCTTCACTCATTCAGATGCCCGTCGTCAGTCCTGTCAACCTTGAAAATGCCTTAGAGAACTCCTTTAATTCCCACTGCCACTATCTTAGTAACTGAGTTCCTCATCCTTTGGCACACAGCAAGTATTTAAAAATTAGTAATTTCAAAAAAGTCTCAACCGCATAAAGCTCTAACATGTGGTGGCATCCAGCCTGGAACTCAAGTGTTCTAGTCCCCAGTGTGGATATTCGAGAGCTCTTTCCATCCTCATATAGGGAATCCAGACTCTAGGGAATTCATATTAGAAGAAAAGTTGTACACCTGAGTCTCAATTCTTACCCCGTCCCGAATGGAATGCAGAACTAAATTCTGCAAGTTCCCTCCTCAGGCAGCGAAGATTGAGGTCCTCTTCAGTGAGAACTTTGATAAATGTTTAAGTAGTGCTCTCTCTCTCGCTGGCCTCCATTGTAACTAGTTCTGCTCTCAGCTGACAGGAAAAACTACCCCATCTGCTGCTGCAAGGAAGCAGTGACGTCACGGCTGGAATGAACTGACCCCGTTTTTTGGGCTTCGCAGATCTTGGGGCCTCAAGGCCCGGAATGAATAGGGGTCGGGAGACCACAGCTCCTAGCGTCCGGGGGTTCGGCCCTGCGCAGACAGCCCGGCTCCCGCCCTCCCTCTACGCCTCGGGCGGAACCCCGCGCCGGGCCGCCGAGGTCCTGCCTGGAGCGAGCGAGTGGGTGTGAGCGTTGGGGGCCGGCCAAACTTCCTGTCCCGCGCTGCCGCTGCTTCCGGCGGGAGCCGGAAGACGCTGTGTGTGGACGGAATTCGGGACCGCCTGACGGCTAGCAGGCTGCCCCGGACGGGAAGGTGAGCTCCGGGCTGGGCCAGGCCACACCCGCGCAGCTAGGTGGTCCCCGAGAGAGAGGGAGTCAGTACCGGCTCCTCAGGGGCTCGGGCCGGGTTCGCCTTCGGAGAGGACAGGGAGACCGCCCCCCTTGGGCACCCCTCCCAGATCTGGCGGGCCCGGGAGCGGCCGGTCTGAAGCCCTGTGGCTTTGGCCCTTCCCCTTGCGGCGTTGGGGCTGATGTGATTGCTCCTTTGCTTGGTTTTGGGGGTAGGGGCTTAGGAACAAGAAGGTCCTGAGAAAGCTGGAGTCAGCAGCGAGTCCCTAAGGGCGGGGGCTGCTGGACTGCACCCGCAGCCGGGCCCTACGCTAAGGCCTTTGCGGAGGGGGAAGGAGGATGCGAAGAGGACTCTGCCCTGGATATTTCAGCCCAGAGCTACCCTCTTTCTTACGTCCACTTATTTCCTGGGTCTAGAAGAAGGAAGGCTGCCGGCTCTGAGGGGCTTGGCTGCTGGCTTCTCCTTCGCCTGTCATTTCAAAGCGAGGCTGTGGGCTGTGTTTACAGACCGTATGCGTTCGCCGGTTGAATTTATCCTCTGAAGTTTCTTCAGAGGAAAGAATGGAGTTAGTTTATTAAAGTTTATCCTACTTGCTCATGAGCCTGAAATGCATTTAGGCACCATTTGGAAGTTAAATATTACTAACCTGGGACTTAAGAATTTGTACTTCATCACTTTGGCACATGGGCCAACGTAACATATTTGCAAGGAGAGTAAAAGAAACATTTTGAAATAGAGTCAGTGGCATTTTGTTGTTAGGGAGTGAGAAATTCCACTTTGTGTTATTTTAGTGTGGACAGAGTAAAGTCAACTGAACGGAAGATTTAGGTTCTAATTTTTAAGAATTCTTGATTTAAGTACATGTTTGATTTTTGACAAGTTACTTGATCTCTAGTGCTTTTGTTCCTCCTGTGTAGGTGAAGAGGCTTACCTATTTATTCAGCAGATACTTTCTGAATGCTTAGTTTGTTCAAAACATCATACTAGGTTAATGAGAGTTAGAATGAATAAATTCAGCGACCTTAACCAGTGAAAAAAATATGCATGTAGACTAACAGCCAAGGCGGGATGGAGTAGTTGCTAAAGAGAGGTGAAACTGTGTTGCGAAAACACCAAAGAAAAGGACAGATTTGTTTTGATTGGAGGGATGTCTTAGTGGAGGATGGCATTTGAGTTGTATTTTTTTTTTTTAAAGATTTTATTTATTTTTATTTGACACAGAGAGAGATAGTGAGAGAGAGAGCACAAGCAGGGGGAGCGGCAGGCAGAGGCAGAGGGAGAAGCAGGCTGCCTCCTGAGCAAGGAGCCGGATGCGGGGCTCGATTCCAGGACCCTGGGATCATGACCTGAGCTGAAGGCAGCCGCTTAACCCACTGAGCCACCCAGGCGCCTCTTGAGTTGTATTTTAAAGGCTGGAAAGGATTTCAAAATACCACAGCTGGATTGGGAGTGTTTATTACTGGTCGAAGAACTATTCTAAGCAAAGACTTGAGCACTGAAATAGGCTGGTGTTCATTCCAAAAGCCAGTCCATGTGGGATGGAGTAAAGGGTTAATTGGAGAATATGGACAGTGCTGTAACTGGAACAGTATTTGAGGATATATTGTAGAATATTTGAAATGCCATGCTTAGGAATTTAACTAGTATTCTGAGGCACTGAATTTTGAGTGAGTGGAGTAACTAACATAAGCATTTCTGTTTTGGAAAGATAATTCAAGTGGCTGCATTAAAAGGTGGATTGAAAGGGGGAATTTTTAGGGCAGGGTGACCAGTTAGAAGCCTATTTTAATAGTGTAGTTGAAAGATAATGAGACCTAAACAGGGTATTACAGGAGGAATAAATTTGGGGAATCAGAACTACTGGGGTTATTTAAATATGGAGGATGAGAGACATTGTTAAAGACCTAGAATTTGCGGCTGAGTGGGAAGAAGATTGGGCAATAATTGAAATGGGTAATACAGGAAGAAGAAAAAATTTGGTGGTGGAGATGATAATCTCGATTTTGGACATTGTTAGGTTTGAGATGGATATCCGTGGGGAGATAAGAAGTTAGAAATGAAAATTTGGAGTTCAGAAGAGAAGTCAGGATTAGAGACAAAAATTTCGGTATTATTTGCATGTCATTCGTTCACTCTACAGATATTTATTCAGTACTTACTAGGTGCTTGCAGGGAAGTTTGTATGGAAGCCCTTAAATCTCATAGTAAAGCCAACTTTAGAGCTTCACAGTATCAGAAATGACTCGGAGGCCTAAATTCCTTATGAATTACATATAATACTTTGCCAGGCACAGTGCTAGGTAATGGAAGGTAAAGTTGTGACCAAGACAGACTAGTTCCTGCCCTTGTTTATGGAGCTTACAATTTACAGGGTAGCCAGACAAAAAGTGAATACTATATAAAACCAAAGGAATTAGAAACAGCAAGACACCTAGGTGGCTCAGTCAGATAAGTGTCGGCCTTCGGCTCAGGTCATGATCCCAGGGTCCTGAGTCCCACATCAGGCTCCTTGCTCATCTGGGAGCCTGCTTCTCCCTCTGCCTGCCCCTCCCTCTGCTTGTGCTCGCTCTCTCTCTCTGACAAATAAATAAAATCTTAAAAAAAAAAAAAGAAAGGAATTAGAAACAGCAGAGATAGAGAATAAAGGTGGAAGTATGGGGAATCTTCTTTGATAAGGTGATCAGACAAAGCCTCTCTAAATGAGTTGACAGTTAAGCAGAGCCCAGAAGAATGAAAAAGAGCTAACCAATGGAGAGAAAGGTAAAAGGGTTCCAAGGTAGAGGAAATGACATGTGCACATCCCTAACATCAGAAAGAGCTTAATTTGTTCAAGGAACTAAGATGGCTGAAGCTTGGTGAGCACATAAGGGAGAGTGACTGTTGGAGTGTTTTTGGAGAAGCACGAGTGGATCACATAAGGTTCTCACAGGCCAGGATAAGGGGTTTGGATTTTGTATAGGTGCATTGGGAAGCCAAGTAAAGAGTTTCAAGCACGTGAGTGATAATAATAGAACTCATATTTTAAGATGATATTTACTACTGTGAAGAGAATAGAATGGATGGAGGCAAGAGTAGAAGCAGGGAGACCAGTTAGGTGGCACTAATAGTAGTTTAGGACAAGTATTGATGGTGGCCTGAAATAGGGTGGTGACAGTAGAGATAGAAGTAGGTGGATTTGATGTCTCAGTAGGACTTGCAGCTGGACTGGATATTGGGAGCAAAGGAAAGAAAGTAATAAAAATGACTCCTAAATGGGGTGAATAGTGGTCTCGTCTTGAGTGGAGGGTTGTGGTGAGTGGGGCTGGCAGAGTGTGATGGGAAACAGGCTTGGGAGAGAATTCATTTTGGACATGTTAAATTTGAGATATCAAATTAAAATGTTAAGTAGAGATGTCAGGTAAGCAATTGTATATGCAAGTCTGCAGCTCAAAGGAGTTATCTGGGCTGTAGATAAAAATTTTGGTGATGAGCACCAGGTGTTGTATGGAAGTGTTGAATAGCTATTATATACCTGAAACTAATATTGCACTGTATGTTAACTAATTGGAATTTAAATAAAAACTTTAAAAAAATTGGAGACTATATCATTTAAAGCTGTAAGTTTACTCTAGGAGGAGAATGTAGCAAGAAAAGAGAGCCTGGGTATTATCCTGAGGAATATTAATATTTAGAGGCTGAGTACAGAAAGAGTGTAGGAGTTACCAAAGGAAACTGGAGGAATGGCAATGATGTAAGAGTAAAATGAGGAGCATGTATCTTGGAAGCAGAGAGTATAAGTAAAGTGTTGGAGGAAGGAGGCAGTGCTTCTAAGGGATACCAGTTATGGCTCTGGTTGCAAGTGACCAGTTTGCTTCAGAAGAGGAATTTATAACAAGGATGTGGGCAGCTCATGGGATCAAAGGAAATGATGAAGGCCCTGGCTTCATGAAGGACAGGAATCGGAGCAGCCCTAGGGGAGGCTGCTAGCAGCATTACTGGCATGAATGGGCTGCTGCAGCAGTTTTCAGCCCTTTGTTACTTCTTTGAGAATTCACATTCTGAGGAAAAGTGTCTCATTTGTTCAGTATGGGTCAAGTGTCCCAACAGTTGGCCAGTGAAGAAAAGAACACCTTAATCTATAGTCTCAACCGAGGATGTATCCAGTGGGGGAGGGGTGGATCCCCAGACATAATGTAGATCTGTCACCCAAGCAGGAGAAATGAGTGTGTGACAATTAAAAACAATAGTTGTTCATTACAAAGGTCAAGTAAGATTGGGGCTGTTAAGTGTCCCTCGAATTTGGTAACATGAAGATCTTTGGTAACCTTTGTAAGAGAAGTTCTGGTGAAGTGATGGGATTGGATAGTGATTGGAGATTTGAAAGTGGAGACAAGTCTCTTGATAAATTTGGCTCTGAAGGATTGCAGAGAAATGGGGAGGTGACTGGAATAAAAATGAGGGCTGTGGGAATGGAACACCTCAGCAGATCCCGGGAAGGAAGAGGGAAGGCCCAGGATGAATCCTGTAGTTTCTAAAATTCATTCTGGCTTCACAGTTCTCCAATCCAAATTTCTCTCACTAGTACCTGTTACCACTTTGTTGCTAGAATTTAATCAACGTCCAGGGGCGCCTGGGTGGCTCAGTTGGTTAAGCGACTGCCTTCAGCTCAGGTCATGATCCTGGAGTCCCGGGATCGAGTCCCCCGAAAAAAAAAAAAAGAATTTAATCAACGTCCATAATATGCTAGATAGGGATATAAAAAGTTAACTTGGGTTTTTTTTTTTTTAAGATTTTATTTATTTATTTGAGAGAGAGAATGAGATAGAGAGAGCATGAGAGGGGGGAGGGTCAGAGGGAGAAGCAGACTCCCTGCTGAGCAGGGAGCCCGATGCGGGACTCGATCCCGGGACTCCAGGATCATGACCTGAGCTGAAGGCAGTCGCTTAACCAACTGAGCCACCCAGGCGCCCCTGTTTTTTTTTTTT